GTAGCTTAGCATTTTCAGAGGAATGTGTTTTTTTTCTTTGTTAAGCAGCTTAACTCTGAGCTCTGAATCATTCAGGCAGAAAAATAAAGGCCCATAACTCAAGGGGTGAGCCAGCGTTGTGTCCACACAGAAGCAGTTTAAAGTGGATCTTTAGGCTCTTTGTCACAAAGACACATCATTTGTTCCATTTCTGTATCTGATGGGTGAAAAATGCCCCAAAAAACCCAGTCTGACAGACAGGAAAACAGGATTTCTGAGTTCTTAATTTTTTAATTTTCCACTAATCTTTAGTCCAGTTTTAATAAATGTTTTATAGCCAGATGAGGCATAAAAAGGGCCTCTAACTCAAGGGATGAGCCAGCAATCCCACCAATTCAGCAAACTCAGTTTAAAGTGGATCTTTAGGCTCACAGAGACACATCATTCGTTCCATTTTCTTTAGTTAATGGAGGAAAAAGGCCAAAGAAAACCCAGTCTGACAGACGGGAAACAGGATTTCTGAGGACTTTCAGAGATTTTGTTTGGACATTTTTTAATTTTCCACTCATTTTTAGTCCAGTTTTATTAATTTTTCTTGGCTATCTGGAAAAACTCTCATCCTGGTGTCCACTGTGTCCTTAAACCTTGTCCTCACATTTTTTTTTCTGACGAATACAAAGAAATGAGAGGCAGCTTTTGGTCCCGTTTAAACTTCGTTTCTACTGTAAAACATCAGTAAAAGACTCCAGCCTGCAGAAACTCTGTTTAAATCCAGTGTCCGGCCTTCAAACTGACCTCTCTCTCTCTCTCTCTCTCTCTCTCTCTCTCTCTCTCTCTTTTTTCTATTCTCCAGCTGCGTAAAACAGGTCCGATTCGAGGCACCAGTGCTGCTCATGAGCAATGAGGCAAATCAACCAAACCCTGTCATGATGATGTCATCGGAGACACGCCCACCACGCCGAGGGAGGGGCCTCTTCTCTTCCTGTCTCACAATTCATTGGGGGGGTTTGATAAGATTGGTAAACAGTACTGTACAGATCCCAACCCCCCAATCACAAGCCTCCAGTTCACTCGACACCAACGAAACAACGACGACAACAAAACAACAAAAAAAACTCGAAAAAAAATGTTAAAAAACGTGGTTTTGCAAACAAAAAAAAAGACGAAAAAAATCTCTTTGCACAGAAAAGTAAATTGCCTGATACGTAATCGTTAGTTGATTATTCCGATGGGCTTTGTTTTTATTCAGGTGTGTAAACCGTGACTCAGAAAAGTCAGGCCTTTTAAATTGGAATGTTGTTTTTTTTTTTAGCTCCTCCACTTCCCAAAAAGAAAAAAAAAAAACAAAACAAAACAAAACGATTGGTTATGAGCCGATGCGAGCAGGTGTTGGACCATTTTATTTTATTTTTTTTTAGTCCCCCGCCCTCCCTGTTATCAGTCCGTCTGCTTTATTCTCGTCTGTCCCCGTCTACCAACTCCATGTTGCCCCCCCACAACCTCAAACCTCCATTTTTTTTTTTTTTTGGGGAATACTTTGATCCAAAGTTTGAATTTTAAACCGGATTTGTGGTCGAAAGCAAAAAGCTGAAGCATGGTCGCTGTTTGCCCCTCCCTCTCCTCTTCCTCTTCTTCCTCCTCCTCCTCTTCCTCACACACACATGCCCATAGTCCAACAGAGTGGGGGGCATTAGTGTGTGTCGGGGGGGTGGTTTGTGTGCTCGTTTGTGTCCTCAGCTGCCTTCACTTTTTTCGGGACGGACTCTGCCTCATGCTCTCACTGCATGGCCTTTCTCCTCGGATAGGGCTTTATAACTTTAGGGGGGTGGGGGGGGGGGGGGGGCTCCCACAGCCTGCGAAACCAAACAAAACAACAAAAACAAGAAACCAGGATGAGATGAGAGTCCGTGCATGAATCGAGGTAGTTTTTATTTTTCCTGTTTTTTGCTTTACTGTTCTAGCTTAAATCCGCCGTCAGAAAAAAAGGGTCCAGGTGCTCCCAGGTGTCCGGTTTAGCCTCTTAAACCTTGTATAGCGGTTTGTTTTTCAAAGCTTTTTTCAGACTCGGTTAGCTAAAGGAAACCGAGACGGGTCGGTTCTCCAGGGTTGTTTCCTCCCCCCGTCCTCCGGGAGCTTGGTTATTGCGAGTGTTTACAAAGATCTCAATTTTTTTTTCTCTTTCTTTTGTGACGGACGGCTAAAGGAGAGCTCTACTGTCGGCGTGCTTTGTCCTAGAGGCGGACAGACTGTACATAGAAAACTTGAAGGGGGACTGGCACCATCAGGTTTATCATTTAATACTGTACTCTGGTGTTCAGGCAGGAGAAGTCGGCCCTCTGGCGCCCCCTAGCGGATGAATGTCGACCCTTTATATCACCAGAGACCTGGGACAGACACAGACATACGGAGTTACTAAAACGACTAGATTTGCATGCTCACTTTCCGGAAGGAAAAACAAACAAAAAAGAAAGTACAAGTTAATTTTTCTTTCTCCCTCTCGGATCGACGATGCTCCGCTTTTCAGACGACATAAAAGGGAAGTGGGAGTGGGAGTGGGGGGGTGGGGGTCCCTCTCTCGGTCAGACTCGACTCAGCTGGACCTCGGATTACCAAACGAGGAGTGAAAGGCCCCGCGAGTCTAAGGGGGGGGGGGGCTGGAGTTAAGGGAGCAGACGGAGTCCACATACTGTTTTTCTTATTGTAATCATGAACAAGCACTTGCAAAATCTACTGTTTTTCTTTGTTTTATTTCGTTTTGTTTTTTGACAAAGATTCACAATGTACCCGATTTCTCTTTCTGATAAGGCAAAAAATTCAGGGGAATTAGTAGTGAATGTAATAAAATTAGTTTTTTTTTTTCTTTTTCTTTTTTGTTCTTTTTTTCATGGCTTTTCAGGCTGTGACAGACGGTCTAGACAATGATACATAACAGAATATCTAATAAATTTGAACAAATAAGCAAAATCTGTGTTGG